GGGGGGGGGGAGAAGATACCAAATGCGTTCTAGTTGGTGAAAGTACGAAAAATATTGTACTCACCTGGTAGAAAAACCGGACTGAGTCGTGGTTGTGCTCTTAAAACAGGACAGAAACTCCTATTACACCGATTACTCATTTGAAAGGAACGGTCGCGTTCAATACAAGAGCTGTTATTTGTCCTATTTTGGGGTTTGTGGTGATTCAGTGTACTGAAACCCAGCTGTGTAATGGCGTTTTATTGGGGGGGTTTTATGCTTCCTTAGAGGAGTACTTTAAGGCTGGTCTAGTTGAACCAGCTTAACAGGAATGCCTCCTTTTCCCATCATTACATGGACAAATTCTCTAACAAGAGAGAAATGGTAGTATGTAAGCTTCTCTTGGGCGGTCCATTAGATCTTCCCCCCTGATATCCCGGTTTCGATGAAAACCTTCATTAATAAGCGTGGGAACTTCTACCCATATAGTGGATCTAAGGTAGATAAGAAGTATCGATCCGTCTCTCCCCTAGCTGATGACTCTTTCGAGCCACTGAAGAATTCTTGGCGAAGAAAACCTTTAAGCAGAATGGAAAGGCAGTCCTTCATCAAATCAATGCATAATATTAAATCGAAATCTCAGCCAAGTAGTTATTTAATTTTCACAATTTTATAAAACAAAAAGAAAGAGACCATTATAATGAAAATGGAGGTAAATTTATTGATCTCTATTGACTCCAAGTCTACTTTTGGGCTTTTATGAACGACAAGAGAGGTCAACTCGTCGTCTCCTATCAGAATGTCTCGTTTCTGCTCATTACTGCAACCGAGTAGCTTTTTGTTATTAGTAATAAATGATATCGTGGTTCTAGTCCAAAAAAAAACAAATTTTAGCCGTTTTGTAAACTATCAAGATTAAATTAGAGACTGTGTTTAGACCTTTCGTTGGTCTAAAGTCTGGTTTTGGGTTATGAAATCTGACAGGGTCTATCTGTTTGTTTTTTTTGCTAAAAAATTTTAGAATAAATATTTATAATTGAATTATGCTTGAGTGCGAGTTCTTTCACTGGATGAAAACCTCGAGAAATGTCCTATATTATTGTCAAGTTGTCAAGTTGCTCTTCTGCCCGGATGGGGTCTCTCTGACATGTCAGTTGTGAGAAGCCGAAGTGTCTGTCAAGTGTCTAATGTGCAGAATACAGTTGCTGGAACAGTGGTTTACAGGTGAAATACATCAAAGGGGATGTAGGATGTTGCGGATTATGGGTTCACAATTAAAGAGCGAAATGGCTAGGGAATGGACCTACCGATTTCGTGGTATTCAGCTGGACAACTCCATGATTCCACCTCTTTACCCTAGACGCTTGTTGAAAAGCGCCTTCCTAGAGGGGTTCTAAATTTAACCTGAACACGCAGACACTAAAATTTTAAGTCCTCTTTCTTGAATAGAACTTTTTTTGTTCCTACTGTGCAGGCCTTACCATACGTTGCTCTATTGATCGCGATGCTCTTCTTCATCTTCGCCGTCATCGGAATGCAACTGTTTGGCAAAATCAGTCTAGAACAACCTGGTCAGGATCCGCCATGGGCAGATGGCATTATCCATCGAAGCAACAACTTCCGCAACTTTTTCTATTCCCTCCTCGTTCTCTTCCGGTGAGGTCTTCTTTCATAAAACTGCAACCTTGAAATTAACCAATTAGATTAGTTTATTTGACAAATTCTCAAGAAATAGCTGCTTTGTGGGTATTTGGTAAATGTTTAACAATGCATATACGAATTCTTTCTGCTCTAATATGCGAACTTCTAAGTTTATTCTTACGCCGCTTTGACGGTTATTTAGCATATCTGCGACTACCTTTCTCAATGCGGGTGTTGACTGATGCTTCAAGGAATCTCGTTAATTTTTATTTTGCCATAAAGTTTCCCCTAAGATTTAAATACTTCCTAGAATGTGTGTATTTCTTAGAATATAATGTCCTTTTTTTGAAATCGATGAATGAAAAAGGTTTAGCTTGCGCCATTGTAGTGAGCAGAATGGGGATCCATAGAATTTGGGGTTAGGAAATTTCGAATTTTTTTTAACAGTATGTTTCCATGATGCCACTCTTCTCTCTCCACGGGGGTTAAGAAGAAAATACTGCCACCTTAAGCGGGTTTGAACGTTGATTGCTTCCAAGATGGAACGATATTTCATTCTCGAACAACTCTCTCCGTGAATCCACTTAAAGCTGATCCCTACAGACTACAATCAAAGTATAAAAGAAGTAGACAAGACGCTAGTTTTTCAAGGTCGAAAGCTAAATTGCAGGCGTTTTGATAGATATCATTAGCCATTTAGCTGACTTCGGGCTTCACAGAGGGAAGGTTCATCAAAGTAGCAGAAAGTCGAGGGGTGGGGAACAGAAGAGCGATTCACAGATGTAATAGAGGCAGATAGACACAAAGGCAGAGAAAAAGGTAAGATGAGTACTGTGAAAGAGGTCGAATATGACAAGCAGGGGGGCCGTGGTAGTTTATGACAAGCAGGGGGGCCGTGGTAGTTTAAAGTCAGAAGTCGACTGCCGGTTAATAGACTTTTTTGCCGTATGAGTATACGTTGGACCACGTGGAGGTGAGTCTATCGCACACCCCAATTCAGCCAAATCGAATCCATTTGAAATTAGAAGAATAAACACCCGATTGAGTTTTTTAAAGCCTTATTATCAAGTGACTTCTAAATAAAATCTTTTAAATGTTGTGCTCGAAATTAAGTTTTAAGAGTGGTTTAAATTCTTTGGTGATGCCTCCGTGCGTCAAATTTAAGTCAGAATCCTATACGATCACAATTTCAATGTAGCTTATCTGCTTATTTTCCGAATAAAACTAAGGTTTCCTCCTCAAATAAATTTATAAGTATTTGATTACATTAGGTCAGTACTAATAACTCTGCTTAAGGAAGTAAAGTTTACTGAAGAAATTAGAATTTTAATGCTCTGAAAATAGAAAATATATATATTTTTGAATTTTTCGCTTCTCTTAAACGTCGCGTTTGTTTTCTCCTTTCTCTTTTTCTCCCCTATCAGATCGGCGACTGGCGAATCGTGGCATGAGATAATGCTTGCGTGCACACCAGGTGAGTGAAAAATCCTCCACCAACTTCGCAAAAATTTATATTTCCCCCCCATTTTAATCGCGCGCGCGCGCGTTTTCTCCATCAATCAATAACTACCAATAGAAATAGCGATTAATAGCGCCTTCTGTAAATGCAGCGAATAAAATAGCTAGAGGTAATTAGATTAATTTTATTGTTCAATCACATGTGCTTTCCCATGCTTTAAGAGATATTAACTTAAAAAAGAAATCTCAAAGTGTCATTTATTCTTCGCTTCTTTTTATTATAAGCCACAATATACTTGAGTCTTTTTGTGAAATAATTAAATATTTTCTTATTAACTCCTTTTCTATGATCTGAATCATTATTAGCTAGATACTGAACTTTGCTGCAACATTTTGCGGTTTCTTTGGAAATCGTCAGTGAGAAACAAAGCGTTAAAATGTCATAATAAGAAGTCTGATCTCTAAATAGGGTTACCTTCAGTTTCCAGAGGATGGAGTAAGAATAGCACTCGGAAAATAAAACAAGAGAATGTGTAAACGCCGAATTAGCAGCAGCAGAATTATTGGCGCTTCCGTTAAGGCGGAATTGCTGCTAACCCTTTGCGAACGTGACAATCAAAAATCAGGGTAAAGTGTGTTGTAGCACAAATAGGGGCAGTAGAGTCAAAAAAATTTGAATGTTTTTACTGAAAGCGAGGATTCGAGTCAGCTCTAAACAAGCGCACTTTATTCCATTCGATTTCTGAAGGCGTCCACCATTCCGGTTCTCTTCTCTACGTCTTAATGCTCGTATTCAATTGAATTGATTGATTGACTAATCAATTGCAATTGAGTGGTCACTCATGCCAACATTTATTTATTTCAAATGGCAGGCGTTTTAATAGTTATCGTTAGCCATTTAGCTGACTTCGGGCTTCACAGAGGGAAGATTAATCAAAGTAGCAGAAAGTCGAGGGGTGGGGAACAGAAGAACGATTCACAGATGTAATAAAGGCAGACAGACACAAAGGTAGAGAAAAAGGTAAGATGAGTACTGCGATAGGGGTCACTCATGCCGACATAATGCACTGCAAGCAGTCTAGAACGAAGTTGGTTTAAAAACTGCCACACTCACTGGAATTCACCCGAGTCGAATTTTAATAAAACTCAATGTTACTCTCCATACCATTAAGAAAAGTATCAACTTAAAATGAACAAAGGGTAGATATTGTGGGAAAATTGCATTCAACCACTCCTCCACCCCCCCCCCTCGCCCCTCCTCCTCCATCTTATTGACTAACATTTACCGTCACGTCATTGAACGTGCCCTAAAAAGGAGCAGTGATCTCGTATAATCTGAGTCGATAGCAAAAAACATTTTCCTTGATTGCTGTACCATTGGTGAACAATAATTCCTTTTTAAGTTTACTGACTTCACTGATCTCTCATTAATACGGCTAAAGCAAGTATTGCTAACTCCTCTCAGGGAATTTTCTTACGAAAGTTGCTCTTCTATCAGACCATTGCATCTCCATCAACTTGAGTTATTTTCTCTCCCCATCCTTCACTCTCCTTTTTTCACACCTTACTGTTTATTATTTATCTGATCTAAGAGAGAGAGAGGGAGGGAGAGAGAGGGAGGGAGGGAGAGAGAGAGAGGTGGAGGGAAAGGGAGACAGAGGGAAAGAGAGAGTGTGTGTGTGTGTGCGATGAAAGAATTACGAGTTTGTGATGGGTTAGTACTGACGGTGACAGTGGTATGCATTCAGGCACTAAGGAAGTAGATATTGAGGAAGGCACTGGCTGTGATTTATTTGTTCCCTGTTCCGTCAAGTGCTCAAAACTTGGTATTCAGACCAGTTTGGGAAATAAGCTAACCCCACGAGTCGCCAATTCGAATTTGCATAATTAAATAAGCACTAGGAGGTAGCGGTGTTCCCGCATCTGTATCATATCAGAGAATGCACTTGCAGGTGTAAGACGATAAGGCCTATCTGGTTTAGTGACAAGCCTAGCTAAGATGGCATTGATTAATGTGGTCATTTCTTTGCGTTTGAAGCTCTGAGCATTCACTGAACTATCCATGTTTTTTACTCCTAATCAATAGGGTAATAATGTAGACCGTCTTTGCTTGATCGTGATGAACCGAAGTTTTAAAATATTTATTTATATCAAATGGCAGGCGTCTTGATGGTTATCATTAGCCCTTTAGTTGACTTCAGACTTCACAGAGGGGAAGGAACATCAAATTGAAAAAATTCGAGAGGGGGGGGGGGAACAGAAGAGTGTTCCAAAGATGTAAGAGATAAACAAAGGTAGAAAAAAGGTGAGGTGAGTACCGTGAAAGTAGTCGAATATGACATACAGTGGGGGTGATGGTAGTTTGAAGTGAGAAGTCAATTGCCAGTTAATGGACTTTTTTGCCGTATGAGTATACGTTGCCCAGGGTGCACCACGTGGAGGTAAGTCTATCGCTCACCCCAGTTTTAAAATATAAAATCTTTGAAAATGCCCGAGTTGTTCGTCAGAGGTTACTAGAGGACGGTAGAGTGGAAGTTCAGATTCAAGTCCGGG